CCCCCCCCCCAATTATCTTCTTTTCATGGCAACTTTCTAGTACCTGCATATCAAGCAGAAAAAGTTACCTGAAGCGGGGAGTAGGTGTATACGGCGGAGGCTGCCAAGATAAGCCCTTTGTGAGGAGCTTAGTGAGGGCCGAGGCTGTCGATCGAGCAGCAGGTGTTGGTGCTGTAGTGGTGCTGGCAGCATGATGGCTCCTTCTTTGGCGGACAGGAGACCCCACACAAAGTTTAACGAGGAGGCCAAATAGCTCAGCAAGTGCTCGACCTAATCTGGAGGAAGCTGGAAACCAGAAGTCAGAATAATGGTCTACAGTAGTCTCAGACTGGCTCTGTTACAATAGACACATCACTGCTAATACATTTTTATGATTGGCCACTTTCTCCCACACACAACACCTAAAAACATTGTCTCTGAACAAGATAATTTAAAAAGATCCACGAGGAAAAAATCTCTCTTTTGAAGGTAAGAGAAAAATATGTTGGTACTAAACATACAATGAATATGAAAGACAGGTAAGACAAGCACACTGTTAGAAGAAGTATAAATTGAAACCACCTTTGTAAAAGCAAAGGGAAATATGCACTGATTAAAGTAAATGACATATGTACTAGATTATGGATTCACTTAAAATACAAGATAACCCTAAAAATGGCAAGAATGTTTAATTACTTGAACTAAAAATATCATAGGCACTATACACTGTCTGATCGTAACATAAAATATATAGCCCCAAGGAAAAAGACTGCTTGGAAATTTTACAAAGCTTCTTAAGGAATTAGATAGATCATTAACATTTCAAATTTTCATCTTTGTAGGATGCTTTTAAAAATACTGATGAACAAAAATGGAACTACAAACATAGACCTATCTAAAGGATAAGTAATTAAAAAGAACAGAAAAATGCCCAAATATTATATTTATTTCCCCATTTTCCTTTAAACACTTTTCTTTATCTCTATTCTTGTTTCTTTTTGTAGTTGTTGTTCAGAATGATATTTTTTGCTATAGGGCTCATGTGCTCTCTAGAGAGAGAGAGAGAGAGAGAGAGAGAGAGAGACAGACAGACAGACAGACAGAAAGCCAGAAATCACCCCTGGGGGGATGGCCACATTGCAATTCCTTCTCCTTCTACTCTTAAGATTTTGGGCATGCACGCATTTGTGCCTGGTGTGAGTTTCAAGCTTCTGGGTCTGGGACATGAAAACAGTTGGCCATGTGGGAGTCCAGTGATGTTAACTATTATGCTGTCTGTTATTCTTCCTTCTTAATTTTTTTTTATAATTTGCCAGAGGGTGTGTGTGCTCACCAGAGAGACAAGAAGAGGGAGAAAGCATCTACCAATAGGCCACAGTCATGCTGCAATTCCTTCTCCATTTCCCCACCTTGTCAAGATTCTGGGAACATGGGCACATGAACTCAATGTGTTTTTCAAGCTGCCAGGGCCAGGCTTCAAACCAAGCATTCAGACATGTGAGATCCAGCTCCTTTAACCACTAGGCCATGGGACTGGCCCATGTACCGTTCTTTGTATTTCTGTAGTGAATATTTATTACTCTTAAAATTATAGATGAAAATGCTAACACTAAATTTTAAAAATAATGACTTAATTTCATTATTATTATTTTAAAGAATCTGCTATTAAGTCATATGCATGCACCAGAGAGAGAGAAACAGAAAGACATGGTTAGCCATGGGGGAGACCAGTGCCCCAACCACCATGCTACATGTTGGACCACTACCACAGAATTTTTGAAATAAATATTTTATCATGATCCAGAGACAAGAAGAGCTGGGTCTGAATGAAAGTCAGCCTTCTAAAGATGTACATGTACATATGAACCCATTGTGTAAATTTAGGCTCTACTTGAGCTTGTGTCATAATATTGCAAAACTTAATAAACTCTGAAATACACAGCAAACAAAGAAAGGGAACAGTCCTTACTTCTTCCTATTCCCTCCAAATCAGGTTAAGAGAAATTTTTGCTATAGGGAGCTATAGGGAGCATGTGCTTGCTAGAGAGACAAAAAGTGAGAAATCACCCACCAGAGGGATGGCCACACTGTAATCTCTTCTCTTTCATTCTCCTCTTGGGATTTTGGGCACACATGTACCCATTGTGAATTTCAAATAGCTGGGTCTGGGACTTCAACCTTGGTTGACCATGTGGGATTCCAGAGCCTTAACCACTATGCCACCTGCTATCCCCAAATTAGGATTTTAAATCCTAATTAGAGACTAGGCTACAGACATGTGAACCACCTGGCTAGAGGTTGGATAACACCCAGACTATAAAAGCCTAATGAATTCAAATCAATGAGAAAACACATTCAGATATCAAGTTTATACTTTCTCACCACTGCTTTCTGGTGAACACATAGCAAAGAGGCTCAATGATACTCTTCAGTGGAATGGTAGGAGCAGAAGCTATTTGCAATAGTTGAAAGGTGAATAGGAAGGAATGAATTACAGGAGAGAGGATGGAGGAAGGTAGCAGAGACAGCTTTCAGGAAGGGATTCCTTTTTTTTTTTTTTCCTTTTTCATTGTCAGAAGGTGCATGCATGTGTCTACAGAAAAAGACAGGATGCACTTGTGAGTTAACTTTACCCTTCCAAAAGGGAAGGTCATGCCAGAATCCCTTTTCCTCCCTTTCTCTCACCATCCAATCAGGATTTTGGGCAGGCATATATTGATGCATGCCACAGGCCTGACAAGTAGGGTTGGGATTCATACAGCAGTTGGCCATGAGGTAACTGGCTCCTAAGACACAGGGCTTCACTGCTATAGTATGGGGCCAACCCAGGAAGGAAAATTCTCATCTTTGTATCCCTAAGCAATCAGTATAGCACCTGTCACACAGTAGGCATTCAACAAAGTTTATCTGAAAATGAGACATAGCTCTAAACTTCTTTTAACAAAACAGTCTAACTCAATTTTTTTGAGGACTGGTTCAGGTTCTAAAAGCCAAGAGTAGGAAGAAATCACTCACCTGATAATAAAGGCTTGATTTGCTTGATTCTGGCAGCCATGGCTGGTGTAATTTTAGATTTACCCTTAGAGTCTGAAGCAGTAGGTTCATCTGTCTCCATGGGAGCCAACGTATCACCATCTAGCCCAATGCCTTCCAATAAGCCCTGGGTAGAAGCATCCATACCTCCAGCAGTTCCATCCTGTTCCCCATCTGCTGACAGAAGGAGGAGGAATAATCAGCACTTAACTGGTTCCTTATCCTAGACTTGCAAGAGGGGCCAGTAGGTGGTGTGGTGGTTGAGATGCTGGACTCCCACATGGCTGAATGCTGTTTTGAGTTCCAGTCCTGGCGGCTTTCTCTCTCTCTCTCTGAATAATAATAAATAAAAGAAAAATAAATAATTCTTAAAAATAGTCACAAGAAAGAGCTACCTATGGTGCTTGTTAGTCCTTAAATTTCCACGACCACCTAAATCTAAGAATAAAAATAAATACAACCAAAAACCTGTTCTGATATGTTCTTCTGTTTGGAGTGCTATTAAAGAGATAATGTTGATATCATCAAATAATGCACATCAACAGTCTTAACCAAAGGCTACCTTCTGGAAGTCTATTATAGGCACAGAATAAACCAAGGGGTATCATTCACTAAGATTAGAGTGTGCATAAGGCCAGGTGTCCTGCTAGCATTTTATTGCTTAAAACCTGTTCTGATATGTTCTTCTGTTTGGAGTGCTATTAAAGAGATAATGTTGATATCATCAAATAATGCACATCAACAGTCTTAACCAAAGGCTACCTTCTGGAAGTCTATTATAGGCACAGAATAAACCAAGGGGTATCATTCACTAAGATTAGAGTGTGCATAAGGCCAGGTGTCCTGCTAGCATTTTATTGCTTATTAACAAATTCAACTTGAACACCATAGATTTCTACTGGAGAAGTCTATTTTCTAGCATTTAAGAATTTCATATAAAAATGTGAGATGTGTATTTTGGTTGTTTTCGGTATGTATATGTTCTCAGATCTAAGAGCCAGTTTTTATGCAAACTTTATAAAAATAAGTCACCAAGTTTTCTTTTTAATATTTTGGAAAGATTATACAGCAATGAAGTCATCTTTGTTAAATGTGCTAAAAACATTGTAGGAGGGCCAGCAGGTGGCATGGAGGTTAAGACAGCTGGATCACACATGGCTGGCTGCATGGTCCCAGACCCCAGTGACTTGAAAATCACATTGGTTGTGTCCAAAATCTTGAGAGGAGACTGTAGGAGAAGGTACTGTGGCATGATCATCTCCACGGGGGAGTGATTTCTCACTTTTCTTCTGTCTTTCCCTGGTGAGTGCACCTACCCTAGAGCACAATAAAAACAAATGAAAAACACATTGCTGGAAAAATACATCTGGATTGTTAGGAAGCCATTCTTCAATAATGAATCTAATTTTATTATTGGTTCTCAGTTAATTATGTTATTTCTTCCTTAAGTTAAATTTTGCATATTTTACTAAATTTGAGACTCATTTTTGGTTTGGTTAGGGACACTTTCTCCACAATTTACTTTTCCAGGGGTATGCATACAATGTATTTTGTATGCCAGACCACATGACAGTGAGCTGTCACGTAAGTATTTGTTTCTCAGTTCAGAGGCTAGCTATATCTATTTTCTTTGCCCATGAGTTCCTTACAAATTTCCCTCTCCTCAGTAACTTCAGTACAATTAAAAAAAAAATCTTCTGCAGGAGGTGGGAAAAGGCACCCTTGATAGGATTTTGTCAAAGCATCCTTTCTCCAGCTCTCCAACTAGTTAGGATCTTGGGTGCCTCTATCTGGCATGTTTCAGATAAACTTAGGAGCCAAGTCTGCAAACAGCAATATGACATCCAGTACTGAAAATCAGTATTGCTACCAGCACCATAGAAGATGGACTAATTTCAGTACAATTTAAATATATCTAATCATAATTTTAACACATGGAATTAATGGTCTTCACTGTTTTTTCTTCTTTAAGGTCTTTGCCATAGGGTACATGGGCTTGCTAGAAAGAGAAAGAACGTGAGAGTGCAAGTAAGAAATCACACCTTGAGGGATGGCAATACCACAATCCCTTGTCCTCTGTTCTCCTCCTGGGATTTTGGGCACACATGCACATGTGCCTGGCGTAATTCTCAAGTAGCCAGGTCTAGGACTCAAACTGTGGTTAACCAAACAGAAGTCCAGAGCTTTAACCACTATGTCACTTGCTGGCCCCCCACTGTCTTAATAGTTCATCAGTTTTTATTTCCTTGTTGATACAGGAACAGAGGAAAACATTTTTTGGAAAAGTTCCTTGTATTATACTTTATATTTGCTGCATTAAGGTTAGAAAACTTCTGGATTGTCGGAAAAGGAACATATTTTTTCTATGTTTTTTTTTTTTTTCTTAGAGAGGTTTTATTTTGGCTATAGGGCACGTGTGCTCGCCAGACAGACAGAGACACAGAGAGACAGAAAGCGAGAAATCACCCCCCAGAGGGGATGGCCATGCCGCAATCCCTTCTCCTCCATTCTCCTCTTGGGATCTTGGGCACGCACGCACATGCACCCGGCGTGAGTTTTAAGCCACCGGGTCTGGGACGCGAATCGCGGTTGGCTACGTGGGAGTCCAGCGACATAGCCGTTACGCTAACTGCTGGTCCCACATATTTTTTGTATGTAAAAATGCGTCATGACTTTTCCAATGACCCAGTATATATGACCTATGCCTATTGCAATTAGGAATATTTATTGTGATATAACTTAAAGGTAATTTTCGAAACAGCAGTGTCTGAAAGAAACAAAATGTGAGTTGTTTATGATAAGTGTAGTCACACTGAAAAGTAAAAAACAGTAAGTGAAATTTTAAACTTGCTTTTTAGCCTAATATAATCAAAACTGATTTCTATTTCATGTAATCAACACAAAAATGAGATTTTACATTAAAAATTACAATCCCACTACACCCTTTGATACACTAATCTTTAGGAATCAATTTTATATTTGCTTAGAACTACACATAAAAATGTTTATTTTTCAAAATAGTACATTAGAAAACTTAACAGGGAATGAATAATTCATGTACTTTTTACAAGATAGTTTATGGAGGTGAAAACAGAGATCTACAAAGTTTTATTTAAAATAATCACCTACAAATAGAACTACCATATGATCCAGCAATCTCACTCCTTGGTATTTACCCAAAGGACAGAAGAATTCTGCATCGGAAAAGTGCTTGCAAATCAATGTTTATTGCAGCACTATTCACAATTGCTAAGACA